ACAGTGATAGGTCTTCTGGTTCATCACCTTTTCACCTAACCACCAGTGCAACCTTTTGGTAACACATTCGTCTTTTATAGGAGTGGTTCCAATCATGTATGCATGCCAGTTCAAGCTTCCTGACTCGAATACATACACGTGGGATTCGACTAATAATAAAATCTTGTTGGATCCAACTATCAGACTTACATGCCGCTCCAGGTTGGACCAGAAATTATACTTTGGTGTTCTGTCCGTTTGGTTGCATTTGTCTTACGCAATAGACAGCCCGTATTATTTGGACATTGAATAAAGATATTCCTGGCAAAGAAAAAGTTGATATGACATGCAATTTAATATTAAAAGAAATGGTTTCGACATATTCTTCTTTGCGGAAGGTCCATGTAGACTCGTATCCTAATATAACACATGGCTGTAGGCTGCAATCTGTGATCACTTCACCACTCAGTATCTGTGTACAACCCTCAGTAGAAACTCCCATACAAAATGTACACGGTGTAATGATGGTTGCAAATAAATGTTATGAGAGGATGCCTGGAGGCAACATTATAGATACACGATATATAGCTCATTTAACGGGAAGTCATGGCAGAACAAACGACTTCATTAACTGACAACCATTAAGCTACATAATTAGCTACATAATGTCCTATGGTCAGTTGAAGTACTGTGCAGCAAATGACTCATAACAGTAAACAGATGATCTACGTGTCCCCACTGCCACTCACAGAGTCAATCAAATCAACCAAGCAGGAGAATCGATGTTTGTTTTTGTCCGTTTGCACACCCAAATGATCAAACGATTAAGGAAATTGAGCAGTTTTGCTATAAATTTATATGGAAAAACAAACCAGACAAAGTTAGCCGAGATTCTATCACAAAAAATGTGAACAGGGTGGAATACGAGCCCCAGAGATAATACAATCTTATTCAATCACTAAAAAATATCATGGATTAAAAGACTAAACAACTCCGATTCAGAAATAAAGAAATTGCTACAAACCAAGACACATTACGACATCGACAACTTTATACAAAAATGCAAAACATACATACTTGAATCAGTAATAACACAACAAACAAATCACTTTGGAAAGACTCGGGTAACTTCGTAACCAGAAAAGCAGAAAACGCAAAAATATGCATGTGATATCTTATCTTATCTTATTAACTCTTATGGCTAAATGACAATATATAGATAGATGGAAGTAAGTTTACTCAAGTAAAGGGATTACATATATAAACGACATGTTTGATGCCCAAGGTAACGTTTTAACGAGGGAACAATTTAAAAAATCGTTTGGGCGCAAAAGTAACTAATTAGAGCGTCAAGGAATAATAGAATCAATTAAATACTACTGCAAATCCATAAACGTCCATATTCAAGAGAAAATCCAATCTCTGATTTTGTCCTATCTTTTACAAAATATAGTAGGAAACCCTAAAGGATGTAGAGATATTTATGACATACTCATCAATGGAAAATCTAGAATACCTTTAACATAGCAAAACATGTGGCAAAATGAACTTAATGAATCTATTGGCGATAACACATGGGAAACGATAGAAAAAAACCAACCTTTAAATCGTATAATAGTGTAAAAGACTTTAGGTTTCAATACAGTATACTGCATAGGTTTCTGCCAACAAACGATTTACCAACAAAAATAGAATATACAGATTCTAATACATGCATATTTTGAAAATCCGAGAAAGAATCAATTTTACATCTACTTTGTGACTGTAAAGTCATAAAAACTATTTAGAAGAAAATAGAAGAATGGATATTCGAAAAAAAAGGGTCAAATATTATCTTTTCAAAGAAAAACATTATTTTAGGATATCGCGAAAAGAGAAACCCTGTTCTGAATTTAAGAAATACAGTTCGCTCTACCACCATGTTTAGTATAATAAAGCACACTTTATAGTTAAAGCACGAGGACGCTGTTTTCTAAGATGCCAAAGTTAATACTTTCTAAGGAGAATTAATATTAATCTAAGGTAGAAAACAAACGACAGTGTCGGTGACCTAAATTAAGAATCCTCGCACAGGGCTTACTGGCGCGCTGTTCTATTGATGTGTCTGCCCCCCTACGTTAGGACGAACGTTACCAGAAAAAAAAACGATAAACAGCTGATGACGGTTTACGTTCGGATTAAATATCTTCTCTAAATTATTTTAATTACATCTGTGATTAACGTAAGCCATATGGGGCAATATGAACGTCCCATTTCTACTACCAAGGTACGTTTAGTTCAGTACATCCAGTTGAAGCTGAGTAGTCAGGCGACATTCCACGATTGCATTGTGGGAATGTAAACATTGCGAATGTTACCGTGTCGCTGAAAAATTGTGAGTTGAATTGAGACATTTTAAGCGTCGGAAAACATAAACGTAGTGAATCCACCAGTGACGTTAGCTGAGTGAAGCAACTGCAAACCAAGAAACGGGATGCAACGGAGTAGTTTACTGTATGTACGAGGCGATGACAACTGACATGCATCGTGACGTCGCTTACGTTGTGACGTAATGCAAAATTGTTCGATTACGAGGGGGCAGACTAGAATGGCGCAGTGACGCCAATACATTGTGACGTAATACAAAAAGTGCACATTATCGTCTGATAAAGTACTGTCGGCGTTTTTGATCTTTCTCCGAAGCATCTTAGAATTGATAATAACAGTAGTGAAAACCAATATATACAAAATGAAACAAAGCGATACAATAGCAAATTTGAAGTACATTATAGAAGACATAAAGCCAACATACTATGCTGAACGTTTTAATGCCTACTCAAATTGCAAAGATGACAGTTTCACAAAATTTTGGTCATTATGTCACAATCTGTTCTGTTAATCTAGTGTTATATATAATGTACTGCTATTATGTTCTCATGTACATATTCATTCCAACCTGAATGCACAATTGCCTGTAAATCGACTATGGAGATTCAAAAAATACAAAATTAAACAAAGCTATATCTTGAAAGGTAGATTTTTGACGTGGTCAAAATGTGTTAAAGGCGTCTCTCGTTTCAAGCCCACTTCCCGACATTGTCTACGACGGCTCGTTATAGATTTTACAGCCATCAGTTTACTGTCTTGAAGTGTGGCGTATAGACATATCAAGATTAGTTCTCTGATACCTTAGCATTAAAGGGACGCCTTGAATGCAAAATATATTGACGGAACTTTGTAAATAGTGGACCCACATATTGAATTACCAAATCTTGTCAGTCTGTTAAAAGTCTGAAACAATAAACTGTTTTGAAAAATGCAGCCTTCTTACTTGATGACATATATGTTTACAAATATTGAGATCTCCCGGGTGATCTAGATTATTGGTTTTAAGTATATTTGAAAAGAATGGGGTTGTCACATCTGGGCATATTCTAACCTCCTGCCTAACGAGTCTTTCCCCAGTTTCCTAACCTTAACGCAGATTTTAAAAGTGGAAACGTTTGCTTTGTGCAAAAGAGACTTGGGAAATTTTGTTTCGAAAATGAAGCTTTATATAACTGTGTCGTATTTGTACTTTCAATATATCCTTGTTTGTGAAACCTTTTTGTATCTGTTATCGTTTGGATTTTGTTACAACCAGTGGCTATTTCGCGTTCCGTCCTCAGAACCTCTGTGTTCTGCTTACCGAGAGTCAAGTTTCTCTGAGACAGTTTCGAAGTACCAGCATTTCGCCTTTGATGTGCGACTGTAATGAAGCCATTGACATTGAAGACGTTGGTGCAAAAAACAAGTAATCATCTGAAGCTCGATTTATCTTCTAATATGTTTAATGCCATAAGCAAAGCACCAAACAATATTCTGTTAAAAAATAGAAAAGAAACATTGCTCAGTTACAATGTAAATATGGTAATCTTCCAGCACATCTCACATCATTACTTAAATGATCATCAAATTATCGAACCAACTGCTTCAATAGATTTCGAACTCTGGCTATAATAAACCCTTTTCTTTAAATACCATACACACGTAAATCCAAGCAAAGAAATAAGGAGTGTCAATGAATATCAAATTACATATCTATCAATATTAGCAAAAAATACTACTGTATGTATGTATGTATGTATGTATGTATGTATGTATGTATGTATGTATGTATGTATGTATGTATGTATGTATGTATGTATGTATGTATGTATGTATGTATGTATGTATGTATGTATGTATGTATGTATGTATGTATGTATGTATGTATGTATGTATGTATGTATGTATGTATGTATGTATGTATGTATGTATGTATGTATGTATGTATGTATGTATGTATGTATGTATGTATGTTTATTAAATCTGAACGTGATGCCTTGCACTAGGTACAGTGACAGACTGTGTAAACAACCAGTGTCGCAAAATAGAAGCTTCCTACATTAGGGGTGACAGGTTATCGAGAATATACCTTTCTCGAAAATTGCTACATTTTCGCATTAATCGAACAAAACATGTCTTTATAAATGCAATAACGTACAGATGATAATCCCAGACAAGAACGTAAGTAAAATGCACATATAAAACCGCAAATATCACTCAAATGCACAACACCCCTACATGTAAAATAGACTCGTTTTAAGAAAACTGACCTCATGGCATTTCGATCAAATTTGAGTATTTTAAAACGCTTGCAATATAAAACACATATGAAGAGTGGATCTCTCTAAGCTGAATATCAAGTAATAGCAACGAAAACATCTCTGCGTCATGTTGCCATGTTGCGCCATGTCGCGCCATCATCACCGGAAGCAAGTACCCGGGATCCTTCAGTAATTTCAAACGAAAGGGAGTAATCATTAAAATTTGAAAATATACAAATGACGTTGAATCTATTCAAAACAACTCTCGGGGCCCCACAAATGATGAGAAGAGCATGCAATATCATTACTGGATTTCTGGATTGATCTCTTAAATTCCCCCTTTGGGGTTCTCACTTTGACATTACGAACAATCCCATCATCTCCAGGGCATGTCTCTATTACTCTAGCCATTGCTCATTTTCCTCTGGGCAAATTGTAGTCAATGATGAGAACCGCATCTCCTGTCTGAAGTTGTCTCCCCTTTGTCTTCCATTTCATCCTCCGTGTGAGGCATGGCAAATACTCTCTGATGAATCGTTTCCAGAATGACTGAACAGGTGTTTGAGTGAATTCATATCTCTTCCTCAGAGACGCAGACTCATCAAATGGTCCTTGAGGTATATCGCAAGTAGCTCGACCAATCATGAAATGGTTAGGCGTAAGAGGTCTCAAATCCTCTGGGCTGTCTGAGATGTAGCCAAGAGGTCTGGAATTCAGCAAACTCTCTATCTCTGAAACCACTATAGACATCTCGTTCCAGCTTAATGTTTGTTCGCCTACAGCCGTCTTCAAAGCTCTTTTCGTCTGTTTGACAAGTGATTCGTAGATCCCTCCTTGATGGGGGCTCAAAGGGGTCGTAAAGATCCATTTTAATCTCTGTCGGACACTGAAGTCCTCTATCTCTTGTTTAGCTTCAGGTATGATCTTGCGCAGTTCTCTTTCTGCTCCGATGAAGGTTGATCCATTATCTGAGATAATGGTTCTTGGCAAACCATGATGTGCCGCAAAATGTCTGAGCGCATAGAGAAATGATTCAGTGGAGAGACTCTCCACTATTTCCAAGTGTATGGACCTGACAGTAGCACATGTAAATACAGCTCCCCATGCTTTCCTTTTCTTGTTGTGTCCATATTTGAGATAAAAGGGACCAAACAGGTCAATTCCTGTGGTCGTGAAGGGTGGTGAGAACACATTCACTCTCTCTGGAGGTAAGTCTGTCATCAAGGATGCATGAGCTGGTTGCCTCAGTTTTCTACAAATCACGCAGTTCCTTACCAACTTCTTTGTGGCATTTCGTCCTCTGATGATCCATAATCTAAGTCTGCTCTGTGACAGGGTCCGCTCAATGCCTGCGTGGTATACTTTCTCGTGAGCTTCTTTCAGGATCAGCATGGCAACATGCCCATTTTGTAGCAATATCGGATGCACCTCATCATAGCTCAGGGCTGACTTCCTAAGTCTTCCTCCAACATTGACAATGTTGTCCTTGTTGAAAGGACTCAAGTCTGCACAAGTCTCTGTCCAATCTGCCAGATCATTCTGAGCTTGCTTGATCCAATACATCTCTGCTGATGTGATCTCTTCTGGTGATAGACTTCCATCTCGGGGATCCTGGTTGTCAAGCCTTCTCTTCCAATTCCAGATGAAACGTAGACAATAGGCTGTGACTCGTGCTAATCCTGGCCAACTTGAGTACCTCTCACTGTCCATTAATGTCACACTATAGTCTCTCTTGAAGGCGAAGCAAGGTCGAGACACCTTGTCTTCCTCAGTGTATTCACTGGTCTCTGTGCCTTTCTGTTTCGGCCACTGTTCCCTTGGCTGGGCAAGGAAATCTGGTCCCTGGAACCATCTTTTCCCTACATCTTGGACTTTCAGACTTTGGCTTAGGTCATCGGTAGCATTTTCTCTGGTGGCACGTAAAACCACTAGTTTGGATTCCATTCCGACTGTATCTCAGAGACTCTCACTCCAACAAAAGTTTTTTCTCTTTGATGATTCTGTCTTCAGCCAATGAAGTACAATTTGTGAATCTGTCCAAAGAAAGACTTGTGGTTTCATCTTCATCTCAGTGTAGATAGTCCTAGCTAATCCCGAGGCCAAGAGCGCAGCCATTAATTCAAGCCTCGGTATGGTCGACTGCTTCAGAGGAGCTACCCTAGATTTGGTTGCTATCAGTCTTGCATCCGCGGAGTCATTTGAAGTTGGCCATCTGACATAGGCACATGCACCATATGCTTGGCTACTTGCATCTGCAAATAAGTGCAGCTCTGGTTCTCCTGCAGCATCCGTAGGCTTTACAGATCTGGTGGTATGGACCACTGACAATCTTTCTAGATCTTGAAATACCTGTTGCCACTGTTGGCGGACGTCTTGTGGCAACTCATTGTCCCATCCACAGGGCTTCATTTTCCAAATGACCTGCATGCTAATCCTGGCTCTTACAGTGATAACCCCTGCAAGCCCCAAAGGATCATAGATAGTTTAGATGTAGGACAATACACTCTTTTTTGTACAAATCTCTGCTGAGAAAGCCTGAACTCTGAAGTGGATGGTGTCAGAAGTGCAGTTCCATACTACTACTAGGGCCTTCACACTTGGATCTTCGCACAGTGAAACGTTAACCTCTTCACTCTTCTTAACCCTGTGACTGACCAACCATTCCTTGATCTCGAAACTACCTGTACTGAGAACAGTCCCCAAATCTCTCATCTTCACGTCAGCTTCTTCCTCTGAATCGCATGAGTGAAGTAAATCGTCTATGTAACGATCTCTCTCGAGAATTTCTGCAGCAGCAGGATAATTATCTCTGTTTTCCTCTGCTATTCTGAGCATCACAAAGCTAGCTGCATCGGGGGAAGCACGTTCACCGAATGTGACCTCAATAGTCTGTATGTGGTTGGCTCTCTAGTTATATTGAGTTCCCTCCATAGAAATCTGTGGACGTTGGTATCTCTTCTCAACACGCAAATCTGGAGAAACATCTTGGATATATCCCCTGCAAATGCCACAAGATTCTCCCTGAATCTTATCAGAACTCCAATCAAGTCACCGATCAAGTTGGGTCCTTTCAAAAGGAATGAGTTCAAGGACATACCTTGATATTCACAGGCAGGATCGAAGACTATTCTAAGTGGAGTACTGACCTTGTCAGGCTTGCATACAGCGAAGTGAGGCAGATAATACTCAAGTTGTTCTTTTGAGTTGTCCTCGTCTAACTCTTCCTTTATCTCTTCTGCCCATCCTTTGGCTATATAATCATCCATCACTTTACAGTACTGCTTTGCTTTCTCCGGATCACGTGACAAAGACTTCTCCTGAGAGATAAGTCTTTTCTCTGCTAATGATCTGTTGTTGGGCAGGTGGCTAGGATCTTCCTTCCATGGTAAGCCTATCATGTACCTCCTGTCCACCTTCTCACATGTTTCTTCAAAGCATGACATAACTCTCTTGTCTTCCTCTGTCAGGATCTTCACAGGGCATGAACACTTGGGTGCCTGTACACATAGCGTCTCCAGGTCATACATCCTCTGAATGTCCACCCCTTCGATCATGTTGAAGTAGTTCACTGAGTGAACCCCACTATGTGTTCCTTCACCGGAACCTAGCACAATCCATCCAAGCCTTGTTCTTTTTGCAATGGGCTCAAAGGTCGTCCCTCGTGGACTTCTTGCTCCGCATGGAGATGCGAATATCTCCCTCCAAGGATCAGATCAACAGGCCCACCCTTGTGGGCAAACTCAAGGTCTCCGAGGTGTGCGAAACTAGAGAGCCACTTTCTGTCAAACTCTGGAACCTATCAAGCTCATGAGCTTCCAACTCATATTCCTCTGAACCACCAATTCCACTGACAAAGAACTTCACATTTCTACTGTCACTTTGTCTAACCCTCTGTATCCCAACTACACTGATCCTAATGCTCTCACGTTTATCCTGCAAACCCAAACTCTTAGCAAAATCCTGGCGTATCAAAGAAGTGCCTGCACCGCTATCAATCAAAATGTTACCCTCTCTAAAGCGACCACTGGGTGATCTAAACTTGGCTCTGATTACAGGCATGATACTAGGGACATGACAACCATTTGCTACATCAGGCATAGCACCACTAGCAGTTAAGGTGTCAACATGCAACAAGGTATGGTGTGTTCTAACACAACCATTTACATCACATTGCCGTTTAGATCTGCAATGTTTGGCCTCATGGCCCTTAACTAAACTTGCAAAACAAAGTCTATTGTCTCTGACAAAGTCAACTCTCTCGGAAACAGGAACACATTTGAACTTAGCACAGTCACTAATTCTGTGAAAATCTCTGCAAAAGTAGCTTGTCACTGCCCTCTGTGCAGCATAAACACCATCTCTCTTGTCTCTAGTTCTCTCTCTCTTGTCAAACGGAGCTGCTGATGCTTCGATGACATCCCCAAAGTCTGGATCGTAGTCAGCCCGCACTCTCTTCTGGATGTAGTCACGGATATCCTGTAGAGTAGGATTTCTACCGTAGTCGCGAATCTCAGCCGCAATTGATCGCCATGGTCCAATGAGGTTGTTGGGAAGCCTACCAATGATCGCCCTGAGGCATTCGATACTGTTCACATCTGACATGTAGTTGAGTCTCTTCAGGGTCGCCAGACACCCAACAATGTCAATTGACAATGTCCGCAGATTCTTCCTGTCATTAGGCTTCAGCTTTTCCCCTTTGCACAGTCTGTTTATAAATGCACGTGCTATCACACTTCTCTGGCCAAACTGTCTCTTCAGTAACTTCAATGCAGTTGCACACATAGTGCCTGAGGCACCTAATGTATCAATAGCACACTTTGCTTCACCTGCAAGATGTGCCTTCAGCTGAATCATCCTCTGATCGTCCGTAAGGCTTCTATTCTCATGAATGTGGATCTTGAAGGACTCTATGAAATCCACAGAACTGAATGAATCCCCATTGAATGTACTCAGCTTAAACGATTGAATGTCTCGTGCAGCCTCTAATCTGAAGATGACATCTGCCAATGACAAAGACTCACTAGAAACTTCAAACTCAGTCTCTTTAAACTCAACCAGGTCGTCAATCCGGTCATCAACAATGCCTGGGGCATGCACAGTTCTTCCATCCTTACCAGGTTTCCCTTTCACATCGTTGGTTACTGAAGACAAGTCATCAGTATCACCACTTCTCTGTGTGACCATTGGCACCATTTTTCTCTCCGTCACTACCAAACTTCTTGTTAGTATCATCACAGCCTAATGCATCGGAAGAAACGGAGCTGGTCTCAATCACATCTACCTTGCTCCTATTTCGCGTTACTACTGACTGTCCACGATCTCTGGAATATGCCTCTACCTTCTCGGCTACATTGTAGTAGTCATTAGAGACTTCTAACTCCCACTTATCAAGTCTGCTCTTCTGTGAAGGAATGATCTCATACTAACTCTGAATTGATATCCATCACTCAATCAAAGTCACGGAAAATAGTTTTTAGTTCACTTTCATACCTCTTCTTATTATATTCATGTTTCTTCATACTATCAGTCAACCTGTTTATAGCTCTCGTGAGCTTAGTTCTTAGAACCTTTCTCTTCTGTTTAACTTCTTTCTCTGGTTCATCATCATGATCCCCTTGTTCTATCTCCATAGCATTTTCATTAGGAGGCTCGTGCACTTCGACTTTTGTTGCCATCGTGAATATCTCGTTTCCAACACCAAGTTGTCTATAGGGCGACACTCTTGAACTCTTGAAATATATCTTCAGACACTTTGGTGCAAAAAACAAGTAATCATCTGAAGCTCGATTTATCTTCTAATATGTTTAGTGTCATAGGAAAAACACCAAACAATATTCTGTAAAGAATAGAAAAGAAACATTGCTCAGTTACAATGTAAATATGGTAATCTTCTAGCACATCTCACATCATTACTTAAATGATCATCAAATTATCGAACGAACTGCTTCAATAGATTTCGAACTCTGGCTATAATAAACCCACTTCTCTAAATACCATACACATGTAAATCCAAGCAAAGAAATAAAGAGTGTCAATGAATATCAAATTAAATATCTATCAATATTAGCAAAACATAATATGTCTGTCTGTCTGTCTAGAAAATACCTTTCTCGAAAATTGCTACATTTTCGCATTAATCGAACAAAACATGTCTTTATAAATGCAATAACGTTCAGATGATAATCCCAGACAAGAACGTAAGTAAAATGCACATATAAAACCGCAAATATCACTCAAATACACAACACCCCTACATGTAAAATAGACTCGTTTTAAGAAAACTGACCTCATGGCATGTCCATCAAATTTTGAGTATTTTAAAACGCTTGCAATATAAAGCACATATATCATCAAAACCTGCACATAAAAAAAAATAGTATTATGTCCGTGGATCTCTCCAAGCTGAATATCAAGTAATAGCAACGGGGATCCTTCAGTAATTTCAAACGAAAGGGGAGTAATCATTAAAATTTGAAAATATACAAATGACGTTGAATCTATTCAAAACAGACGTCAACACCAGGAAATCGTGATGGTAATGTACACTGACACGACTCTACAAGTCAATGTATTTACACAGTTTAAAGTAATGCTCGACAACTACACTGAGGTTAATTTGAATCAACATCTGGACAGCTGATATCACATTCAATCATGACCTCAATCTACAGGCCATCTTCAAGAACTCGGTTTGATTTATCTGATTTAACACTCCTCGTCACTGGGACGTTTCAGATACTCTTCCATTATGTGTCATTCTGTTTGCTAAGGCAGGTTCTATATTATAAAGTTGATAGTTATACAAATACTATATAGGTAGTGTCACAATTACAATTATACATTGTTGTACAAGAGTAGAGACATAACAAATAATGTTGCCATTACATTTAGAATCATTTCAAATATTTTCTATATTACTGAGCAAGTACATTTGAGTGTGAGTG